TAAAAAGATTACATGTACTAGGTCTTCCACACTCCAACATAGAAATCCTGCAAAGGTAGCAGTCTATGACTCTAAGAACTATCACAGGCGCTTCTTGGTATATGATCAACTATGATATTCATAAAGACCTAGACATGCCCTTTGTCAGTAGTGAAAAAGGTAGATGTGCTATGAGCACAAAAATATCTTGGCTCTGGATCTCTTACTCAGTAGTATGGACACACGACGATTAAAAAGATTACATGTACTAGGTCTTCCACACATAAATTAGGTTATATACACAAACTATAATCGCTATATATAAATATATAAATATATATAAATCTGTGTGTCCTGACTGGCTGACTGATTGATTGAAGATCAACGCCCACCCCAAACCGTAAGAGCTAGGAAGCTGTAATTTTCACTGTAGTTACCTTATGTGATGAAGGTGCACGTTAAGACGGGGTTTTGGGGTTTTTCCCCACTCGCAAGTGTAAAAATTGCCAAAAACGTTCGTATGATCCGATCGGCTACAAACACATATTCAAAGATCTTTGTGCAAATTCATCTGACGGGCATTTGAAGTTTTTTTGGAAATCCATCCCTCCTTGGTGGAAATGGGGGTCAAAGATCAATCATTTGAGACGTGCTAAAAATTTTTGTCAAAATCAAAGCTTTCACTGTGGAAAGTGCAACTTGACAATTATTTTGGTGAATTTTTAAGTTCTGTCCGATTTGCTTCGAACTTATTTTCAAAGCTCTACATAGGAACTTAATGAATACCGGTTTCAGCGGTTTGAGAAATTACACGCAACAGTGGTAAATTGGCGGCAAATGTTTTTATGAAAGTTGTTTGATTACCGCCCGATCAGTGTCAAAATCATTTTTAAAGCTTTTTGGGAAAATTTATTTTATACGTGCCAAGGGCTATACCCGCTAGTGTAATATATATTGTTTGAACTCATTGGAGCTTAAGAAATCCTGCTATTAGTTGCTTAGCAATTTGTTTATTTTCCTAAGACAGATTACAAATAAAATACGATATAAAATAAAAAAGTTAAAAAGTTAAGTTAAGTTAAGTTAAGTTTAAACTATATTATAACTATATTATAATGTAGAGCTGGCTGCTGAGGCCTTCGGATATGTATCTAAGCATCTGAATGTAATTGGGGTGTATTTATTTATTTACAAACAGAATAGTTTAGAAAACCCTCTTGCTTACCAAAAAAGGCATACGGTTATGTACAGAACATAAGTATAATTTGTTCTTGTTACTAACTGAATTTGTATACCCTGAACCCAATAAAAATGGGTAAACAGGGTATAATGTTTTTGTGCAAATGTATGTAACAGGTAAAAGGAAGCATCTCCGATCATTTGAATTATTTATATTCTTGATCAGCATCAATAGCCGAGTGGATCTAGCCATGTCCATCTGTTTGTCCATCCGTCCGTCCGTATGTATGAACGCAAGGATCTCAGAACCTCTAAGAGCTGGAGACTTGAAATTTGGTGAGTAGGTCCTCCTAGTGCCCGCGCAGATCACGTTTGTTTCCGATAATCGATAACTTGCCCCATTTTCAAGTAATCGATAAAAATCTTTTTCGAAATCCTATTTTTGAGAATATTGGCTAAATAATAAGAGCTAGAGCCGCCAAACTTGAAATGTATTTTTTAGAATAGTATATAAATGTCAAGTATTTCTCATTTTATACCTATCACCACCTCCCCGCTACTACCTCATACCTATAAATCAAGCTAATAAACCAACTTGTATTCTCATAATTTAAATGCAATTGACTTTTTGAGAATACACTAATATTCTATAGTACAATTAGATCGACTGTAGAAAATTTCATCAAGATCGGTTAAGAAACACATAAGTTATTAAAGAAAACGTGTTTTGGCTGGCCCCTTGCTTGAGACAGCTAGCGCAAATTTTAAGCTTTTCTGTATACATGTACACACACACACACACATTAATGCGTGTCTTCTTTGAATTCTGTCAACAGCATGGCAATTGCGATTGTATTGTTTTCTGTGCTACTCAAATAGTTACTGTTGAGTAGAGGCGGCGGCAAGTAATGCGGTCGGTTGCGAGCTCGAACCCTACCGAGGAAATTTTTTTTGAATTTTTTTATTACTACTAAAGCAAGCGAGCGCGTAGCTCGAGCTGCATTTTGTGTTGGAATAAGAGGGTTCGGGGTATCCCCTAGTCGGGAGCTCCCGACTAGAGCCTCTTACTTGTTAAGATTGAATTTTGTATATCGTTAGTATATAGTTACATATATTAGGGGGAATATTTAAACAAGTTGCTCGATTTTACTTTGATTCAGCAAAACAATAATTGGGGATATATTTTAAATGCGGATTAATAATATGTGTTACTGAGTTATTGTTTTGAAAAGTGGCTAGTCTATGGGTTTGTAATGTTTGTATTGCGAAATGGCCAAATATTGGATAAATGTGTGGTGTTCATGTAATGGAAGTTTATTCATTTTGTGTGTCCAAGACGCAAACGAATCAGTTTTATTTCGACCAGTTTGCCTGAATTGCAAACAATTAATTTAAAAAGAAAATAATTTATGTTTTTTTTTTGTTAGCCCCTCTAATTAGGAAATAAGTACCGCATTTTATTTGGTGGGTTTTTCGGCTTCAAAGGGGCGAATCATCATCAGGACGCTTTTCATGGAATAGCTACGGCCATGCCAATGATTCCAGTAAATGCAGCCGTTTCTCTCCAATTTATTTGATTTCTCCATTTGGCAATCGAAACTAAAACCGTTCAGGTTGCTTAACGATAGAGGAGAGAAATATTTTAAATATTTTCCAATGACAAAACATTTCGATAATAATACCTGTCACCGCAGTGGAAATACCACCAACCGCCTTTTAGAGCTTTTGCGCAGTTAACTTTCAAATGCGTATCATGATCCTGATCTTTGGTTGAAAATGATTTTCCTACATGTTTTCTCAAAGAATCGTTAGCATCTCCGATGTAATGGCCAGTCGAAACCAATTTGAATTTTTCCTCCTCACTTCCGATTACGAAATTATCATATCTGGCATAGCGGACTTCGTCATTTTGATCGACAAGCTTAATATAGAGCTCGTGTCTTTGATTGTTTGTCATTTTATGCAATTTCTGTAGACCAATCCAGTATTCACCATCGGCTGTCCCGAATCCTTCAGCATATTCCGACCAATCCCTAAAGAAGTCAACACTTCCATCTGTGCGACGCTGTATTACGGTCCACCCTATGCCTGCAGTCTCCGAATCGCATGCGACGGAAAAAGGCGCTTCTCCTTCTATTTCTATTGACTGTACTCGTGCAGCAAGACAACTTTGCGGCAATACACATTCACGCTAAAAATAAATCAATTGAACGAACATGTATAATATGATAATAAAATTTCCCTATGTCGACTACTCACCGTATCACTTCCAGATATAACCGCAGTCACTTTCAAAATTGTTAACAAAAGTGTACATAATTTTAAATCTTTCAACATTTTAGAGCGGTCCTCGAATTTCGTTGCCAAATACAGGGAAATGACCGACAAATATGAAATAGAGTTGAACTGCGCAGTGCTTAATAAACCTATTTTTCAGGAAGTGTTACGCTAACATTATAATAGAAAATATTAAAATTGGATTACATTTAATTATCTGCGCTTATGCAACGGCAAAAAAAAGCTTGTCTAAGTTCTACTTGATATTTATTAAATTCACTTAATACACGTTTTAAGTAAAAATTAAATAGGTTCTGTTTTAGTGGGAATATTTAAATAGGTGTTACTTTGTTTCAGCAAAAAATTAATTGTCGATAAATTTTTTTATGTGTGTTGTTTTGAAAAGTGGTTAGGCTCTGGGTTTGTAGTGTGGAGCAGACATTAAGAAGAATGTGTTGAAGATGTGTGAAGGTGTTTGCATTGCGAAATAGCCAAATATTGGATAATGTGTATTGTTAATGTAATGGAAGTTTATTCATTTTGTGTGTCCAAGACGCAAGCGAATCAGTTTTATTTCGTCCAGTTTGCCTATAGAAGATCTTTGAAAGAAAATCACAGGTATTGATCGTCTTGGGCGAATGATTTGAAACCACAATGATGGCTTAGTATTTTAAAATTCCAAAAATACAAGTAAATGTTTTGTTGCTTATGAACATAGTTAGTAAAGCTAACAAGTAAATTTATTCTTTAACAAAAACAGATGTAGCTGTGCTATCGAAAACTCTTAAGGTTTATTGTGAAATACTCTGCTCTGGTGAAACACACAGAAACCGCTAATGCGGCGATAAGTTAAGGTTAGTTAGCTGTGGATGTGGCCACAATGGCAATGTATGCCAAGAAATAAGAAAACAAAAACAAAAATGATTTATCATAATGGTAGACGGCGGCCTGGGGGCTTCCAACGGCGTTGCCTTAAACGGCCGATAACAACAACAACAACAACAATGACGCGACGTCGTGACGCGACTGGACCGTAATGTCAACTCTTCATATAAAAATTAACAAAAATATAAATTTGAAAAAAAATAAAAACGAGATTCAAAACCAGAAATATGCGTTTTTTCGGGATGCGTTTCTGTTTTCATTGCCCATCGGGTTTTGTTTTTTCTTGGCAATTTATGTGGCGAGCGTCCCTTTTGGTATCGAGTTACGCCTGCGCCTGTGCGACAATGTTGAGTTTCTGGACTCGGGCACAAATTATGAATTGCCGTTGCCCGTTTTGAAGCTTATCGAGCGAATGCATCGCTGCGTTTAAGTTTTGTTTTTTTCCTCTTTACTTCTTTTTTTTTATTAAATTTTTTTATCTATGTCAGCGCATTTTTATCTAATGGCTTTAGCTTCTACCCATCTTCCCATTGATTATTCACACGCACAGCAGGCAGGAATTTGTATCTCCGATTTCAATGCTGACTTATGACATGGTCTCCTATCAGAGCTCAACCCGGCTACGCTCTGCTTGGCTCTGCTCTGATAGCTTCATAAGCCGCGATAAGACCAAATTCAAGCGCTAATTGCCAGCAGCAAGACCTTATGAGGCGCCGGGCATTTGTCTGTGGGTGCAGGGCGTGCGGTGGCTGGCCAACCATTGACAGTTTTCCAGGTGGCAGCCGCGCGGTCTTGCTATCAGCCGCTTGTTATCGCCAGACAAATGCATTTTGCAAATTATTAACATACTCCTCGGTGCATATGTGTAGATGTGTGTGTGTATCTGCAGCAGTGTGGCTCCTACATGGCCACAACAGCAAGTCGAATGCGCGGCTACAAATACATTTGTATCTGACGCCAGTGGGCTGCGGCGGAGCGCTGGCTGCCGGTCTCGGACTGCTCTGTGGCTGTAGCTGTGGCAACGGCAGCAGCTAATTGATGTCAGTGCACAAAACTTGATTTATTTCTATTAATAAATGCCCAAATGCAATTATTTGGCATGCTGGCACACACATCCATACACACGCATAGATATCAGAGTGCCCGCTGAGAAATTTGCTATATGCTTGAAAATAGCATGTAAATTTGGCTATAAATTTCAAAAGAAATTTAATTAATATTTATTTTTATATATTTATTTGTCGTACGGTAATAGTAATAATATTTTTATTAAACGAAATAATAAATATAGTATATTTTTTTAGATATTACATGTTTTTTTTTTATTAATTTCATTCATTAGGATATAAAGTAGGACATATAATATATATATATATATATTTATATATTTATATTAGGATCTATAAATATAAAATTACATTTTCTTTAGATATATTTTTATATATTGGTTTGTCATATGAAAAGAGTAACATTTCATCTTTATTTTTATCAAATGAAGTTATAATTGTATTACATATATTTTTAAATATTATAGATTTTTTAAATTGATTTCTCTCATTAGAATATAATATTTAATTTGGGTCTATAAATATTAAATGAGATTTTATTCCTATACATTTTTATATGGTAATAATTATTCATTTCATTCATTTTGTAGCCAACTGAGCTGTTTATTGACTGAATATTAGATTATTTTTGGTGATATTTCTTAGATTAAAATTGAAACAAATATACATATATATATACATATATAATCTCACAAGCCTTGCAATTTTAAAGCCAGAAGTGGCTTGACTTGTATATAAATTAAATTGGGAATGAATGAAACACTTTAAGACTCCCAATTTCAGCTGCCTTATCTTTGGCACACATTTTTTTTTAAAAGCAGCAAGGGTCTATAGACGTTTTAAATTATTTAGTCAAAAAACTGATAATTATTTGAAAAGCAAAAAATTAAAGCAAAAAAAAACTTATTTTTTTAAATATTATTTACAACTGTTCTGTTAGGTTTAGCGGCCTTTTCATATTTTCTTATTACTTTTTATACATACATATTTAGTTATTAATTTTAAACGGATGCTGAAAACGTTTTCCACTGGGTCTAAACAAGGCTGGTCAATAAATTGCTTGTTTGGCCACCATTACACACACAAACAGCAGCCGAAAATGGCCAAAACCAAAAATGCTGCAACTGCAGCACAGTTGTTATTGATACTGAATTTTTTGTTGTTGTATTTGTTGTTACTGTTGTAGTAGCTGTTGTTGTTTCGATAAAAATCACGTAAAAATTTAGTTGCATAAATTTTAACACCGATTTTAATCGACGCCATGTCTCTGACTTAGACAACTCATTGAGCTGCTAAGCGCGCATTTTCTTTATATTTTATTTTCAATTTTATTTCTTTTTATATTTTTTTTGCATTTCCTTCTCGACATCGAAATCGAAATCGACGTCGACAGCGACAACGATCGACACTTTACGTGGCAGCATTTTTCGCTTGTAATTACGGCCAGCAGCAGTTCCGGGGTATTTCTTGTTGTTGTTGCTGCTGCTGCTGTTGTAAATGTACTCTATAATTTTTGTACGCTCGTAAATTATTGATATGTCAAATCAAATTCTGGGCATGTTTTTCAGCCTGGCACCACCACAAATTTATGGCTTACAATTTGTGTTGGCCACAAACGAGAACTGGTTAAAAAGTAGACTGCAAAATAAAAAAAATAAATGTAAACTTTCGTTTGAAAAAAAAATTTTTTTTAAATATAATGGAATTCAGAAAATTAAGGAATCAGACAGAGGGACAGATGGGCTGACTATGACTATATCAACTCGCCTGTTGATACTGATCTAGAATACATACTATATGGGCTCGGAGATGTCTCCTTTTATGCGTTACACATAACATGACAAAATTATGATACCCTCTAATAACATTGAAGAAGTTCTTATTTCTACTTTTGTATATGCTCTTTTTGAAAAGGAATAATAAAGTTGTATTGTTTTATTTAATAATATTAATGTTAATTGTTGGTTCAAATTATAAATAATAATAATATTTATGATGTATCAATTAATTATACGTTATAATAACAATAATTATAATATAATTAGTAAAATATATTATTATATTTTGAATTAAAAATCTATCAAGTGTTAATTTACTTAATTAATTTATTTAGTTGTACGTTATAATTGTTTTAAATGATATCTAAGCACAGTTATGATCTTAAATAATTATTATAAATATTCTTGTCCACTTTTTAGTTGTCGGTTTTTTTTTTGGGATGCTCAAATATTTGTGGAACCCAGGACAGTCAGAATTTGTTAAAAAATAGCAATTTATTTATTTTACAATTTATGTAAATTTTTGGTTATCCTTAAAAAACTTATCAAGCCCATCTCGTCTGTGGAGCTAAATTATTTAAGAGACAGAAAAGTATTTTTAAGACAGCCGCGGCCCATGTAAAACACTTTGCTTAACAAGCCGCCTGCGCAGAGGCCCCCTGCTCCTCGCCGACTTGCTATGCTTAGTTCCTGGCTGGTCGAAAAATGTACATTTTCGAGTTACTTCATGTTTTGGCTTTTTATTTTCGCTTTTGGCCATAGTTTTGACATAACTGGAGCGGTTCGTTAGGGGCACTCATATGTGGCAGAAGAGTGAGGGCTGCTGAGAGGAGGAGAGGAAACCTGATTGTGGACGGGTTTGGCGTTGTCTAACAAAATGCTCAAATGCTTGTCTTAGCCATTTGCATTTCGATCTTTTGGTAAATGGCCAACAAGCAGACAAAACATAGCCTGGAAAATCCTATGGTAATAAAAGTTTTGTATGGAAAATTACAAAGCGGAGCGCGAATGTGTTGGCCATTCCTGGTTTGGTTTTGGGTTTTGGGATTTTGGGTGCATTTCGCTATTTGGTTGCTTGGGTGTTTGGGGCTGGGTCTCGGGTTTCCTGGCTGCTCTGCCAGCGCTCTGCCGCTTTGTATGGCACACATTCGACTTTCACTTTTCGGCTGCCAAATGGCTATTTGGGCATTTTGTGGGCCATTTTGGCTGACTGCGCTTTAAATTTATGTTGATTGCTCTAGTTTGTTTTTGGCTAAATGTTGTTAAATTGTTTTCCGCTTAAATGACATGCATTTGACAAATGATTAGGCCTAGTTTGTGGTCGCAATGCTAACCTCGACCTATTATACAAATGCATAACCAAATGGTAAAGGAAATAGATTTTAAATGAATGTCAAATAGCTCTGATTTTTTTTTTGATTTGATTTTAGAAATGTCAATAAATTAGAATTGAAGTGAGATGTAAAATAATTTATGCTTACGTATACGCTAAGCTTCAAATAAATATATTTTACTATTAAAAAAATTTAAATATTTAATTTGAATTAAAGAAATGACTCGTAGAATAACATAACTTAAAAAAAGAAACAATTTTCGATTTTAATAAAATAGTTTACTTTTTGATTTTTCTGTTTTATAGCACTTCAGAAATCACACAATTATGATCTGCTATCAACTTTATCGAAAAAAAACTCAGGTAATATATCTTTACTTTGAAAATCAATATGTGGTATCTGCATAGATCTTTGACTTATCTCAAAACATAAATACTTTCACTACCCTTGCTGCCCGCTTGGGTGCCCTGCAACATTGTTGCACTTTATTCGCGGAACCATAAAACATGAAAAACTAAACCCGCCAAAAATCTCGGACAATGTCAATAACGAAATAAATACTAATAAAGTCTGGGCTCATGAGTCCCGCAACGAGTGTCCCTTTTGTGTGTACTACATAAATTTCAATATTTATAGCCAGAAGCGAAAAACGGCGATTGCTACCGAAAGGGCACAGAATCAAAGAGCTGCCATCTCGTATATGTTTCCCTTGTGTTGTTATTTTCGATTTTTTTGTTTTTGTTCATCTTACTTTTGGGTAGGCGTATGACAGGCAGGGCCGCTGGGGGCGTAACCCAAATAGAGGCGTGCGCGGCATGCGCCGTTTTACTCTTTAGAGTCGCCAGTAAATATACGACTTTCATTTCTATGTAACTAACGGCCGGACAGGGACAGGGCAGCTCGCGCCTCGAAAATGGCATATGCTATGTGGCTCTATGTGGGAACCGGGTTCTGCTGATCCTGCTACAGGACCTGGTTGGGCATCATAAATCGCTGCGACATAAATTCAGTGCAGTTTTGACATGGTTGCTGCCTACCTACCTACCT